TATATATATATATATATATTAATTTAAACTGGAACATTCTCCACCTGTGAAAATAGCCATTTAAAAATTTTCAAACTAGAACACAAAACATATCTGGTACTTCCGATGCATGGGGCTATACATACAGACTCCATGATACAGTATTTCACATAAACGGATTACTATATAACCTCCTTGCTGAGAAGGAGATCACAAATGCTATTGTAGCAAACCTCCCTCAGCATTAGAGCTGAGCTGAAAACTACGAGACACCACAAAGATGCATCAACTCTCAATAACCTAGCTGAGATTTCTCCACTAAGATGGCTGCAGCGAGCTGCTGAGCGTCCGTCACGTGAGGGTTCTTCTTCATAACAATCCTCACAAGATCAGGGGGGAAGATGTTGCAGAGATTTATGTAAACCTTCTCCCGGGTGTCTTGGTGCCTTGGAGGGTCTTGAGGGATTCCACAGTAAGGTACACGCCAGGTCTGGTCCTGCTGTTCAGGCAAGCTTTGGAAGGCAAACTGCTCATAACACGGCTGTGTGGGGTTACTCGGCAAGGAGTAGGTCTGGCGGTAGCCGTACGCATCCATCCCGTAACTCTGCCTATCCCAGCTCCCGAGCCCATCTTGGCCAGAATAAGGCTTTCTGTGTCTCAATGGAGAATTATCATATAAACGTGAGTCTGAAATGCTGTCTATTCTTGTGGACATGAGGGCTCTCCCCAGATGCATGGTCTTTGAATGTGACGAACTCTGAGATGTAGAGTAGTCGTTGGGACAACTAGAACGAGCACTGACTGTCGGATGCTGCAGATGCACAGCCATGTATGGAACTGGAGGTTTGTGGTGATGCTTTGGTTCTTCATGACTATAGCTTTGCACTCGTGTGAGAGGTTCGTGATAGCTCTGCAGGAAGGGCTGAGTGTTAAGGCGGCCATGGGGGTGCATATGCTGGCACTTCAAGTTCTCCTCGAGCTGTGGGTCAGGTGAACTCATGTAAGAGCGATCGCTGTAACCCACGTAGGAATCACTACTGCCACAGCTAACACTCCCTTCGCTGCTGCAGTCAGAAGCTACAGAGCTAATCCTATAATCTGTGTCCAGGGAGAAGCACCTTTCAGGACTACGTGGACCAGATATACTGAGATTTGAATATGCACTCAGCATAGAGTAATACCCTACATCCACGGGAGACTCGCATTTGGGATACTGGTCATAAGGCATCGGCGTTCCGTGATTTTTGGTTGCCATCATCACTGTAGGATACTGTCCCTGTGGTCTTTGATCCTGAGGTGGGAAGTGAACTCCAGATGGAAGGCCGTTAGTTAAAGGTGCAGTACTTTGGGGTTTTGCAGCAGAGGAACTTGGTATACTAACTAAAGAAGGTACAGACCTGGTTTCCAATTTGTTTTTGGTGGGAAGCTTTTCCTCCAAGTCTTGGTAGACTTGAGTCCTTATACTAGGATCCGATTGCCTCTTTGGAGCAGCACGCTTCAGCTCAGAAGTGCCATCATTTTTAGTGCTACAGGGAACACTATTGCTTTTTACCAGTCCTCCTTCACTTGTAGTTTTGGCAGCTGTGCTTCTAGACATGGCACGAAGTTCATCAGCTACAGATCGCTGAGGCTGATTTCCTCTTTCTGGATGATAGTATTTGCATTTGTGTCCATAGGTACATTTCTTCCCTATTAATACAAACATAATCAGATTAAAAAAAACAAACAAAAAAACTTAAACCAAAATCTGTTAATCATCAAACAATAGAAATGCCCCTCATTAAAAGTTTTACTGATGATTTGAAAGATCTTGTAAATGGTTTTGTGCAACACAGGGTGAGATCTAAGATCTCTCTTGTATTTTCTGGGGAAAACCAGGCAGTAGTAATGTGTTGCAGCTAGTGCTCTAGGATGCAGACTAACACTACCAGCCACATTTTGAGCTGAACATGACACTGTCAGTGTGTTTGTACACACCTGCTGCATTGGGCCAAAGAGATATACAGGCAGAAAACTTAACAGGAAAGTTCCACGGAGTCATAAGACCAGCAGATTTCAGCTCAGTCAAGATGGTGACGTCCCTGTAGGGACGCTCAGTAGCTAAACTTCAGACAGCTCAATCAATTTTCTGGAAGAAAACTTAGATGTCTTATGACCAAATCACATTAGAAAAGGGCTTTCTGGAGCCTGCAGAATTTAGGCGCTGTTTTGGATCTATTCTGATGAATGATTAATAAAGTTGTTCCTTTAGTTCAATTACTAGATAGAAACACTCTTTAACTAGCACATGAAAAAAATCACTTCAGTTTCCACCATCTGTTCAACGTTTCAACCATTCTCAGGCTAAGACAACAATGAAAAAACCTCTGTTAAAAAGCTGCTTTTTTTTTGGCAGTGTTAAAATAAAGCAGGAGCTTGGTACCCAGTCCCAGCAGAACAGAACACTGAAGAGTTAACTCAGATTACCATATGGACACGGCTGCTTCTTATGTTCTGGCACAATAGGCTTCTTCCTAAGAAAATTGTCCAGACTTGGACCATGGCGGCCAAGAGGATCATCAGGAGGCATAAATCTATAAAGAAAAAAAAAGTATTATGGAAGCAAACAAGCCTTTTCAATATTCCTCATGAAATGACCAAGAACCTCATGACTGCTGACTGGATACTTTTGAGAGCTGTTCTGAAAGGCCACCTTTCTGCTGCAGGCACTGCCTGAGAGATAAGTCATAAAAATATACTGTGTGGACATCTCTAGTCTGCTTCAGACACCTTCAGTCTAGCGCAGCTGACTGCTCCGTGGCAAAGCAGAGCTGTACACAACCCATTCCTAAACCAAAGTAAGGGCAGTAATACAGGCAGCGATTTCTTAAAATGCCACAACTAACTTTGCAGAACAGTGCTCATGGTCTAGGGCTCTTGCATCAGTATCTCAGCACTCAAATACAAGTGTCTCCTTGGCACAGCACTGAGTCTCTCCCACTACAAGAAGCCACCAGTAGCAACTGCAGTTGATTTGTATGCTGGGGTAGGAAGATACCATAGATGGATCTAAGCTGACAGTTGGACTAGAGACCTCCTCAGGTTCATTCCAACATGGGTTTTTCTATCACTCTGGGATTTAGGAGTCTAATTACCACAGGCACTAAAAAATGCTGGCTCAGAACTGGAATATTATACCATTCCATGCACCAAATATAGCATATACATTGTCATACACCAAAAGGGGGGAAAAATAGCATAAAAAGATATAAAGATATTGTTATAAAAAAGCTCTAGCAATAAACAGAGTTCTAGTAGTTTTAATCAGAAGACCAAATCTACGATCAACTATTCCTCCTGTTTTCCTTCATGTACATAACACTTTGGGTGTAAGATAAGAAATTCATCCAAGTCTTCAAGCTGCTCTTTCCTCAGTTATTTTAAGTGGCACATATAAAGACAGAATGACTTACTTGTCATTAACAAACGAATACATCAGCAACCGTTCATCTATGAACTTCTTCCATTCAGGCTTTTCATTAGCTAGATCCCTGTAGTTATCATTAGAAACAATAATGCCATCTGACTCAAAGGCCAACTTCACTATAAATCGGTCATCGTAGCATACCACCCTCCTCCCTTGCACTCGACGGGATGGTGTGAACACAAGAATCTTCTCCTTTTCTAATTTACGCAAGATTTCTTGGTCTACAAGGAATAAGAATCAGAAGTTAAAAAATAAAAAGAAACAAAAGAAAAAAAAGGTTTTTAACCTTTAAAGACATTAGATTTGAGGAAGGAAATCCAAGTATTTAGGACTAAACATGTCTTAAGTGGTTATAGTCCAGCAGAAGGTGTCTGATATATGATATTTGAAGTTACAGTCAGCAGTCAACTAGAAATATTTAAAAAAACCCCCCACAAACAAATAAAAACCACCTGCTCCACACAATTTCTCTCAGACTAACGCAGGGGACCTTATTCATGTTGCTGTGATTCAAAAGAAACACTACTTATCAAAATGCCTGTGAAAAACTCCTCTGGTTGAAGAGGTGGTTTTAAACATCACTGAATGTTTCAGCAAATAGGAGGACTACAACCAAGTACAGCCAGAAGTTTCCCATAACCGAGCTCCTTGGTAAAGACAGACCTCTTTCATCTCTTTGTGGTAGCCAGCAAGAAACATCTTTTGAAATAATTCAGGTAGCTCACTTAATGGGACTGTCTCATAAAAGTCTGCCCATCGAGAGAAGAGGTTACTACTAGGACCCACAAGGACTAGAAAATCCATGTTCTGTACAAACACTCAGGCTCTTCACAAATGTTAACAGCATCCCCTAAGAAGACGTCTGACGTCTTGCAACCAAGAGCAAATGTGGGGTTTTGTTTGTTTTATTCCAGCTCCGGTAATAAAGTCTTTATAGTCTTACCAAATCCAAACAGATATCTCTTTAATCCTGCTAAATAAGTGTGTTTAACATCTAATTCTTCTTGTCCTACACAGTCCACCAACCACCTATCCAAAACAATTTTCTCTTTCTCTGTGTGGGACCTGGAGATCCTGAGGAGCTTTGAAAGGTGGCCTAAGGATGTTGGTCTGAACTAAGATTCCAGACATAGCACTAGTGCACCTAGCACTGGAGCACGTACCCCTTGTGTCAGTTCTCCTAGCTATCACTCTCCTCAGAGCAAACAAGAAAAAGAAAAATAAAAAAATAGCTAGGCAACATCTAAAATAGCAGAAGATGATGCTTGCACAATGAATATGAGTCACGGCTCTTAATAATGGTTTAGGTCTCAAATAACTCAACTGTTTTGTAGCACAAGAAACTTGACAGGGAACATGTTCCATCTAGGGAAAAAAAAAAAGACTCTAACAGGAAGAAATACAGCATTATTATTATATATAAGCAATTTTGATACAAGTATTTATCTTCTTAGTAGAAAAAGCACAAGATTTTAAACTAAATCCAGCCTTTTTGTATTCACCACAACCCCTTCCTGCCATGTGGTAAATGATGAATGAGTGCGACGGAAGGTGATTTGTTTGCCCACTAAGACAGAATAAAAAAATCTGCTATGTGATGATTAGCATGTAATAAGAAATATGCAGCTGTTTATTCCAAGAAGCTTCTCACAAATATTGACAGCATGAGTGACCATCCCCACGTTAGCCACCTAAGACTTTTTCAAAATTCCAGGTGACTGCATATTTCAGGTGCATATCTCTGGAAACGGAATGTCAACACGATTTCTGCAAACAGGCTCCCTGCATCCTGATAAGAAAACTGAAGAACATCTGTTTTACAGAGGTTGATCTTCTTTGATCTTCCTCCCATTTTCAGGGTCCATGACGAGACATGGCAAACTGATTTTTCATTGCTAGAAAACTGGTCAGTTCTAAGTCTTCCTAGTTTCTTGAAACTGCTTTTGGGGCTTCTAGCCCTGTCCACAGCTCTATCAAATGTCTCAATTTATTTCTGAATAGCCAAATCTTTATCACTTAGCCAATGCTCTTCTCATATCTCAAACACTAGTAGAGTGAAAGAGAAGAGCTTCAAGAGAAAGGCTCCAAACTGCCTGTGATGAGGGCAGAACAGCAGCTTTCCAACATTCTCTTGCATTCACATGGTATGTTCTAGTAGCAATCAAGCAAATGAAATGAAGTGTTGACAATGTTTCCAGATATTTGAAAATGTACATGGTAATCAAAACATGCTTCCATACTCTTTTAGAAGCCAAAGCTACTACTATCAAAAGCTTCCCCCCCCCTTTAAAGGCAGCCATGTTTAAGAAAAAAAAAAACAAATTCAAAAAAATCCCCAGCCTCGTCTCCCCCAAAGTTCTAGCATTTTTTTAACCCCTAATTCTCATCTGCTTCAGCTTTAGGGCAAAGGGAGGATGACTCTCCAGCCTTCACATAGAATCAATTAGTTTGATCAAGAAATAAATGCCTTGACATCAAAGTTTTTTTCTAGATAAACACATTCAAAATTAAAATTTTCAAAAGCTATCTCACTTGCTAATAGTAATGATGAAAAGGGGAAACACTGCCTTTCTGTCAGGATAATTCCTGTAACCCCAGGTGCAGGCAGTGACTCACCACAGCTGACCCGGCAGACAGGCCAGCCTGGCAGAATCTGCTCACCACAGAAAGATCACCCAGCAAATCACTAACTTCAAACCTCTTTGCTACCAATGCTACGTGGGCATAACAGATTCAAAAACGGCAATTACATTCTAATTAATGGCTTTAAACTGGAAGAGGGTAGGTTTAGATTAGATATTAGGAAGAAGTTCTTCACTGCGAGGGTGGTCAGACACTGGAACAGGTTGCCCAAGGAAGTTGTGGATGCCCCCTCCCTGGAAGTGTTTAAGGCCAGGCTGGATGAGGATTTGAGCAACCTGGTCTAGTGGAAGGTGTCCCTGCTGATGGCAGGGGGGTTGGAACTAGATGATCCTTTAGGTCCTTTCCAACCCAAACCATTCTGTGATTCTATGATTCTTCAATAAATGAGCAGCAACATTAAAGGAAAATTTATCAGGCGAGGAGAAAAGGAGGACTTGGAGAGGGCACTGCTTTGTCTTTTTCCTTCCTGAAGATGACAATGAAGTTACTACACCAAAGATACTTTCTATTATAGTCTGCCATTTCTAAAGATTTGTTGCTTTGAGCAGTAGCACTCATGCTGTGCAAAGCATCAAATAAACCAGCAAAAATAGAGCAGAGCTTACCTGTGATAAGAGCATCAGGTCTTGACTGTTCTTTCCTCCATGCTGGCACAAACACTGTAACATCCTTGTGGCCTCTTTCCAAAAACCAGTCTACTGCCAATTTAATTCCTCGACAAGAAAATACTTCTTTGTTCCCATGGCTGAAACAGACATTAAAATTCCTTATTATATGACTTTGCTTTTCTAGGACCGTAAGTGGAGCACACTGAAAGGTGGACCTCAAAGTCATGCTCTTCACTTGCTCTGTGGTTTCTCAAGGCAACTGGCAGTCAGTCTGAGCCTTGCTCAAATATTGCCATTGCTTGCAAAATGGTGTTGGAGAGGGATACTGAACCTGTCAAACATTTTTAGCATCTGTACACAGATTTGACAAGTAAGGAGAAATGTAAGTACGGAGTGTTAAAAATCCTCATAGCCCAACCAAAAGTACAGGGTATAACAGGCACCAGGGAGACTTTATGAGGGAATGCAGGAGGCCTGAAATGCCACCGTGAAAGAATGCAACATCTTTAGGAAATGCTGGCAGATGAGTACTGAGCACTGGTGTGCATGGCAGCAGGGGAAGAGGCAGAAGGTCCCAGCTGCAGGAGCTCTGTGATGTCCCATCTGAACAGGGAAAGCAAAAGGAGAAGGACTCCAAGCCTTGGAAGGGG